GCAGCAGGTTGAATGAAAACCTCAGAGACCACAGCGCCCTCTACAGATCACCTGTAAGGCACACGCACACACACACTGCATATCTATGGTGACAGAAGCTGCAGGGATCTGGCCATGTGACTCACAGAGCAGAGGTTAAATCCTTAAAAAAAAACTGCAGCTATTGATCAAGATCGTAGATAAAATGAAAAACTAAACTTTCAACACATCCAACTTAAAGGAAAAGCTGTCTGAAGCATATCACCCCCCACTGAAAGGACAACAACAATAAAGTGCTTCAGAAAGACTTTCTTCTTTGCGTTAGCAGCTAGCTGCAGCAGAGCCACCAGCTGACTGTAGCAGTCCTCGAGGAGTTAGCATGAACACAACGCAACCAAGCTGCTCTTTAAAGGTGATGCTTTGTGGCTGCACGCACAGGAACGAACCCTTAGTCGTATTTATATGCATAAATATTATGTGTGCAGGCAGTAAGGTCCGTACCTCCAGGAGTGGTGCTAAACAGGGTTCCTCCGGGGGTGGTGGAGTAGTCGTGGGGCATGTGATCCGCGTTGTTGATGATCACCCTCCTGGTCGACGGGATGGCCTTGGCAGTTGTCTTCTGGCAGTCGGTGGACATTTTCGTTCAACTGTAATGAACTTAAACTAGCTAACTAAATGACATGAACCAGCGAAGAAGTCTGGAACAAAAGCCAGGGAGAGTGGCAGAAGCTGATATGGTTCAACAGAATGGCTCCTTTCTGCTAAATAAAAATAAATATCTACTTTTCATTAGTGCAAATCAAGAACACCGTCTCACACACACTGAAAGTGTCGAGGATCTTTGTTACAAGGCCCTCAGCACACTTTGCTTCCACATGCACACAAAACAACACTCAGACAGACAGCCAGACAGGCTGCAGGGGGAAGTCCTGCTAAGAAAAACAAGCAGATTTGACCCACTGCGCCCTCTACTGGCAGATTGTGCAGGTATAATCGCTGCAGAGAGTTGCATTCTGTCGACAAACTCCGTTCAAACACACACACGCAAACACCGTATTTTTTGTGGGATTCTGTGAAAACGTGTAATTAAAACTGCTGATAAATTGTTTGGGTTCGGCTTGAAATTAGTTTTTTTTTTTTTTTTATGGAACTCAAAATACAAAATAATGAACATAGAAAATGGGATATTTAAAAATTAAAATAAGTTTTAGCTTAAAATTAGATTTCACCAGTTAAGTTATAGCATTAAAATCTCAAAATGTTTTGCAATCGTATGCTAAGAAATATTGATCCTAAAATACTAATCCTTTGGTGTTCTGTTGACACAACTGTGGATGTTTCTCTACTTGCAAATAATATATTTTATTAGAGAGCCAATCAAACATGTAAAAAAAAAATCTCTGAAAATTACAAACTAAATGTAGGTATTTTTCATTTCTAATATATGAAGCAGGAAATACAAAAAAGAGCATCCTTTGAAAGGTCCTGCATGACATAATGTTATTTTAACAACAGTACGTGCAAAGTATTAAACTTTTAAACTGAAAGACTCTGTGAAATGTGCAAGAGTTATGTTATTAGTAAAATATGAACATGCACATTATGTGGCTAAAAGTAATTAAAAACAAATAACACTCATTGGTATATTTTTCCAAAATTATACTTTAAATTTTGATTAAAACCTAAATTTCAAAATGCACAGTAATTATTTCTTCAGCACATCCTACTTTAGTGTACATCAGGTTTTTTAACCACTTATTAACCATCCTGGCTCTTGAATCCAAATATGCTGTACAACAACGAAAATGATTAAGAACAAGGGACAATAGGGCAAAATTTCATTTCTGTCTATTTGCCTTTCACTCTGAGAGCTTACATCAAGACTCACCATCCACAATAATCTTCAAAGATACTTGAATGAAATGAGTATTTAATTTCCCTTTTGGATAGTTCAAATATTTTTTAATTTGTATTTCATACCTATTTCAGTGATTGATAGGGAAGCCAGTCATTTTGCAATCAGAAAGCTGTGTATTCAGTTCCCACTCCAGCCCCTCTCACATCAACACGCTCCTGGACAAGACACTTAATCTCAAGTTATACTTACTGATCCGTGTGTTGGTGTGATCACGGCTGTTGGCTGTGGATTAGCACCTGTCACAAAAGTATACACACTATACGCAAACACATTTCATTTCTTTATTAATTTTGTAAATGTTGAGCTGGTGTACAGAGTAAATTGTCAATAGATGCCCTCAGACTTTGATTAGATTAAAAGGTTTTCACATGTATATTTTAAATCCATGTTTGACTCTCCATGACAATAATAATAATAAAAAACAAACAAACAAACAAAAAAAACAAACAAACAAAAAAAAAAAACAAGTTAAAACACCCATAATATCCCCATTTATCCCCAGGTTGCAGGCAATACCCAGAACTCAACAGTCTCTTGGTAGCTACAGCTGTATGATGCTAAAAGTACATCCATAACATAATAGAAATCCCAGTTGACAAGTAAGGGTGCATAGCATTCTAAGTAAATATATATATTTATATGTTTCATATATATATATAGCCTTTTTATGTTAAAAACATTTTGTGCATGTGCGCAGTTGCATTCCTTAGTATCGAGTAATATGCTATTGCGTTAATAATGTCTTCAATCCATTCTAAAGGAATATACATGTGTTCTCTAGTTTTTGCAGGAGTTAATATTTTTGCATGAACTTGGTGCATGGCATCGTTTTTGGCAGTCCCTCAGTGCAGGGCTTTCCAGTTTTTCACCTCGCTGTTGTAAGCACAGTGCCTCCTGCTGGCACCTGCTCGGACACCTTTCTGACCACATTCAGTTCGTCACCATGTGGAAGCCTCAGATTTGGCTCAGTCTCATATTTGGTAAGAGGGCAACAAATAAAAAAAATAAAAAAAACAAACAAAGCAATAGAGGGAGGGCTGTGTTGAGGAAAAATGCTTGTCATCTCGAAGCCACTAAATTCCTCAAGAAATTCCATCTTTTATGAGATTGCTCCCCCTTAGTGTGTTTTCCCCAATAATCAGATCCCTGTAACACTAACCCTGACATCAGCAGAGGAGTCATAAAATCAGTCAGTTTGTAAAAACAACCCAAACATGTAGGAAGGATGAAATATCCCTTTAGAAAACATGAAATAAATAGTCTTAAAAAGTTCAAAAATCGACTTTAAGCCTCCATATATAGTAAAATAAATCCTGAAAAAAAACTGGTGTGAACTTATGAATTTGTTATATTTGCTCAAAGCCACATATATTATTTTGCTATTTTTGTTTTCTCTGTTTAGAAGGTGAGAGGTTTTACACTGCAGCACAATAGAAAGTCAGAGGTGTCACATTCAATACATGAATAATTTGTTAAATATTTATATATGTGACCATTTTTAAAAAAATATGTTTTTAAAAACTCAATTCATTAAAATAAATTTAAATATTTGCTAATTTTATGAGACACTAGATTGCATAATAATCCAAATTGAATAATAATAATAATAAGAATAAGAATAAGAATAAGCATAAGAATAATATTTCATCGTTCTTATTTCATTGCAACATAAGTTGCTACAATCTACTTGAGGTTCTACAGTTGCAATGTCAATAATTTACATCGAAATATCACAATAAATAAAAGCTACTTCACTCTTGAAAGGAAAAAAAAAACGCATAATAAATTCATATTTTGATTTATGATTTTAATATTTAGTTAATTATGTATAAAACATGTGATGTTGCTATGATATTTAGCTTATTTATTGTATTTTTGGTAATGTTTTTTTTTTAAATGGTCACATATAAATTTCAACAAAAAAAAGTACTTTATGTATTGTGGCACATCAACCTTTGAGACCAGAAAAAATAATAAAAAGATATTAGCAAGTCACCAGAAAAATAAAACAAAATAAAAAAATATCTGAAAGAATAATCATTTGACATTTCCAAAAAGAAACATAATGGGAAAATATTCTTACATATATAATATCAAGTCATCTATATATACTCAAATTTAGCTCATTTCAGGATTTATTTCATTGATATATTAATCAAAGCATTTTAAATACACTGCAGTGTAACCAAAAAACAGGTGTTACGTTGTATGGTGCAAATCGTATGCTGTGACAGACCGGGAACTACTTTCAGTTCAATAAATTTTCAGTAGATAATCTTACTTTCATAGGTACTAAATAAGATAATAAAATATAAATATCCTCTAACAAAGAGATAATTGCAAATACTAGTCAAGGCTTTCCTGTTTAAAAACCGTCCTTCATGTATGTTTGTGATGAAGTGAGGAGAAAGTCAAACGTACGATGAGCAGATACTGAGTTTTAAACATCAGAGTGAACACCCTAATATCTACTGAAATACAGAGCCAACACATAACAGGACTCACAGTAATACCACCACTTTTACATTCATCGCTTCTGGCTGTGGAGCCTACTAAACATTTACAGATGGATGCTTATTGCGACATTTCTGTGGTTTTTTGTCTGATAGAGTTCAGTGGTGAACGTGACATCGGAATTAAACGCATGTCTAAATAGTTTGCATCATGTGAGATGGCACACACATATTGAGGTAAATCAACCTTTTAAAACTGATCAGATAGTTTATGTATAAAGTCTCTGACTATTTGCAGTATCACACCCTAACTATAACTTGTCCCTTTATCTGGGACAGAAGAGGTACCCAGAAACACATGCAAACTTATAAGGTGCATATGTATGTCTTTAAGGTTTTAAAAACTGCTTGAACACACCTACATTCTCAAATAAACAACAAAATCAAACTTTGGGCACTTTGCAGATGAGATTCATGCAGTGACGGTTTTTGACATGGCTCACCACCCAGGGCGTCATGAGCGTGCCCAGTCATTGAGGAGTGCGTTACAGTGTAAAACTATAACAAAATAAACATCTATGCAATGTAGTATGGTAAAGAAGCTGAACTTGATATGAGTTGTAGACTGCTAGAGGTATTTCACTCTTTTATTTTTTAGCAGTTTGGACGACATTTTCTCTGTTTATTCAAAATCTGAAAAAGGAAACTGAGACCGATGAACCTTAACTGGATTATCCTGCTCTGAGCAGGTAGGTGCCACTTCTTTAAAGTTAAAACACAGTTTGAGATTCACGAAACTTTCAATCTTTATGTGCAACAATAAAAAGTTAAATTTATAATACTTCATTCTTTTAGAATCAGTATCTTCACAGATTGACACAAACTAGAAACTATACAGATGGATTAAGCATGAGTTGTTCTACAGTGATTTGTGCATATTTCCATCTGTTTTGTGCCATTTGTGCAAAAACCGCCACTGGATTTATGATATGAAGTCATACCAACATAAACAATGTTTTCGTGAATCCTAAATTACTGACATCATTTCTGAAAAAAGAGAAGACTCTAAAGCTGTGATAAGGTTTAGGAAGACCGTGACCTTTGATCCTTAAATTTCCCTTCTTTTCTCACACTCTCACACATAAATATATATATATATATATTTTTTTTTGTTAGCAGTTATTGCTCCTTTTGAATATTACATAAATAAACGTCTAAGAAAGTGAATTATTACAACATAAGATGAATTGAAAGGAGACGAGATTGGAGACGAGGGGGAGCCAGGCTCACAGTTACGGGTCAGTATTACAGTTTCTCATCACAGTGATCGGCGACTGACTGCCTTTGCTATGCTCCAAGTAGCCATCCAAAGGACAAACATCAGAGCTCAACACGACCTCGACCCGTGACGCGATGCTCCCCTGCCTGCCCAGTCAGATCAGTGCTACATTACCAGTGTTTCAGCTACCTCATCAAGTGACAGGTGATCAGTATGTGCACCGTGTGTGTGTGTGTGTGTGTGTGCGTGTGGTGGGGTCAAATGCTGCAGGATTTACTGGACAGCTGCGAGCGGAAGGTGGGATCCTGTCCTCCGTCGGGGAAGGAGGACAGGACTGCTACATGTGCTCTGATAGGGTGACCGCAGAGGTGAGATATATTATTACAAAACAGTGTGGACGAAACCAAAGCAAACGAAGAGAGAGAGATGGAAGAAAAGTTTAGTCTCCTCATAATCTTTCATCTAAACTGTTTCCTTCTACACAAAGAGAAGGTATTAAAACTGCCTCCTACAGATGGAAAAAGAGCCGCAGTGCAGCAACTGCAGTCTAAATGATGGCAGCAAGTGACAGGTGCAGAAAAATGAGCATAAACTGAATTAAAACAGGCAGAGCGACATAACGTTTGCATGTTCTTGTACCCACAAAGACCTCAGGATATATAGACTAATATTATATAGGTTCTGACAGAACAGATCTAACAAGGAAACCAGGGAGGAATCTCTTATGTACATGAAAGCAGCATCAGTGGCATCGCATAGAGATCTTAGAGAACATAAACAACACACGTAACACACTGTCACGTAGAGCTTTTGAGTGCATACAATATTATGTACAACACTGATATTCTTGGGTGGTTAGAGGAGCTTTACTGGGCTCGGAGCACTGAGAGGGGATTAAAACGGATCTGTGTGTTGAGGAAGAGAGGAATTTGAGTTTGTAGTCTCTTTTTTTTTCTCCGACTGATAAACAGTTAATTTCCAGGTTAATTTAGAAATCAGACCAGTGATTGAATGAACATTGCATGCCTGTCCCATCCCGCCCCCCTTACAAGCCCCTGTGTTTCCCTCTGTATTTGTAGTTAAAGACAGGCCATGCGGCAGCAATCACTCATGCTGATACAGATAACAGGAAGCACATGTCGGTTGCGTTTCTTTCTCTTTTTTTTTTTGCCTGTGTTTGGTTTTGTTTTATATGAAATCATGCTTCTAGCCTAGTAGGATTTGTTTTTTTTTTATAACCAGAGTTTCTTAAAAATAAAAAGGTAATTAAAAACTACAAGTTAGATCTTTATCCTTTTCTTCTGAAACGTGCTGAAAGTCGGCAACACCGCTGTCGTTGTGTTGGAGGGGGGGATTTCATTTTCATTTGTCGGCCTGTCCCTGTGTGGTCTTCTGCCTGACAGCTGCTGCTGGTCATGTGTCCATGTACGATTGTTTCGGTGAAGGGGTTGAATCTTGTGGAGAACTCTGTGGATAGAGGGAAAATCACTGATGCTGCATTAAGCTACAGTACATGTGTTTTAATAGAGTACAGGTGCATCTCAGTCAAGTAGAATGTAAATCTATCTCAATAATACTTTAATTCATAAACTTGTGTAACATTTATTAAACAGAAGGCTTCATTTAAATTGTATGGCTCTGTTAATGTTGGTGACTGTTGCTCAGACTTAATGGTAACTCAAAAATGAGTTTTATTAGAATTTCACATAGGGTCAGTAATTTTGTTTATATAGTAAAATATTATTATTATTTAACATAATATGGCAACACACAATCATGGGGAAAACGGCTGACGTAACATTTGTCCATTAGACAGCCAGTGACACCCGCCGGTCAGCACAAAAGGACATTGGTAAAGAAGATGGCTGTTCAGGGAGTGGTATATTTATGCGTGGAAAGTTGAGTGGAAGGACAGTGTTGGACAAGCAATGAGGGATACCCACAGCTTCGAGAGTCAACCGAGAAGAGGAGCTCTTGCACTCTTTGTGTTAAGACACTCCTGAACCAAAAAAAAAACAAAACAAAAAAAACACTTTTTGGGCGAAAGAGTAAAGAAGGGAAAGATGTTGCTCAATGTTGAGGGGCAGCGAGCTCAATTTGTGTCGGTGGCAGTTAGCAGTAGCTCTTCTGGTGTCAGCTGCCACAGCTGCTGGAAGCTTCCACTGACGCCACTAAGAGGCCAATGAGCAGCCAGAGCTGCTGCTGCTGTTTTGGGGAATGCCGATGCTGTTTTCCGGTTATTTTGCTTGTTAGTAAATAATTATTTTTCAAATGGTGATATCATCGGTTGTTAAACTGTGTAAAACTTGTCATATTTTGACTGCAGTTACTTGATGGAAAGTGGCATTTCCATTAAGTTTTATATGTGCTGTGGCGGCTGCCACGAGGATGCTACGGCTGCCATGGCTTCGGTGGCAAATACCAAAGAATAAGTGGCAGCTGTACATGTGTAATGTATTGTTATTTTGTTCTTTGTTTGTATTTATTTGTTTTAAACTTGCTCATATTCTTATTCAATTCATATTAAATAATTAATCTGCCACTGCTGCCACCAAAACCATGGTAGATGCCTCAGAGTCAGCGGTAGCTGCCCCTCTTTTTGGTGGCAAAGGTACCAACTGTAGGTTCAGTAGGTTTATATTTCAGGGAAAAAAACCCCCAAAAAACAAAACAAAACAAAAAACAAACAAACATATGTGTCTATTTGTGTAACAACTGTATGCACTGTTCTCATTTCATACTGAATTAGTGAACTAAATAAACTTCCTTATGACACTCTAATTAATTGAGGTGCACCTGCACAAAAGAGACTGCATGCAAAAAGAAAAATTTCAAAGCAAACATGACAATTCTGTGCAAGAGACTGAAAAGTCCCACACACCATGAGTTTGGTAAAATGCTCACAATTTCCCTCATGTACAAACCACAGTCTTTATCTTAATCCCAACACACCCCACATTACTGCTGCTGTGGCATTTCACCAAAACTGGTTGGCAAACGCAGGTTAACATGCAAGAGTGAGGCACTTGAAACATCAGTAGTCTCAGGAATGTCATGGCCTTTATTTTAGAAAGGGCAAGTCACCATCACACACACACACACACACACACACACGCAGCAGACCCACCGCCTAGTGGCTCAAATTCTCCAGACAACTGCCTTGGCAGCTTTGTCCTTGAGAGCCTCCACTTTATAAGATCTGTCTTGGTTTTGCTGACAGCACACTGTGTCAGACTTTATCAGACTTGTCACAATGTGCACTGAGAAAAACCACTGACCTAGTACAACTTTAAAGATCTCTCTGCATCGAAACTTTGGAATTATATTAGTGTTCTAGTGCAAAATGAAACTTGAACAGACAATGTTCAAGAAATCGTCATGTCAATAAGAAAATCTTCAAAGTAAACATAGTATCTTCTTGTCCTTAGGATTTTTTATTCACAAATATAACTCCATGCTATGATGTGAGAATGAAAAAGCACAGAAGCGGTCAAGGTTTTCAGTAGTTGGTGAGCAATCTAAAAAAAATTAAAACTACTTGATTATAATGTTATGTTTTTGACTAAAGCTAATGAAATTGCATAAAAATAAATTAATAACAATAACGACATTGAGGTTCATCGAGTGCTTTTACAACACTTATAAGGATGAGAAGACATTTTTTGACATGGGGTTGTGTGGTGTTGCATCAGTGGTCAGTATCTTCCCCACTGTAAACATCACTCTATTCACTTAAGAGAAGAATAGTTTTTCACTTTAGAATCAAGCTAGCAGTCAGTCAAAGTAGTGCAAAGAAGAAAGCACACAACCTAATCTTATCTTGCGCCATGTGTCCCAAGATAAGCATGTCTCCTCTTTAGCAAAGCACAGCGTTCTGTCTCAGCTACGCATGCCAAATTTTGCTGCTTAGGCACAGAGGTTGTGACAAAGAACAACTCCTCATCCTTTCTTCTCTCCAACATTATTGGTGAATTGTTGCCGGGACTTTGCTTTGGCAGACAAGCTCCATGCTACAGACACTGCCTAACCTGGTGTGCTAAACACTTAGTACACTTCCATCCTGCTTTAAGGCCACCTCTAAAACCACATGGAGGAGGTGTACTTGAATGAATGATGCAACCCTGGGCAATTGGCCAAATGGCCCACATCCAAAAACACCACCGATATTTACAGTAAATATCAATTTGATTCATGGTCTGTTAACATTATTAGCAATTAGCAGGGAGAGGTAACTAAAGGTTAAAAATAAACAAAATACTGCTTAATTCAACTGCTACAAGATATTTCTTGACATGGGTTTGTCGAACTATTTGAATGTTAATTCAAATAGTTTCTGGGTACACTTGGTGCCTCAGATCCACTAAGACCTTGGCTGCTGACCAGAAATGGATCATCATCAGCTTCCACCGGTGATCAGTTTTTACTGAGCAGCTGTCAAAACCGCTCAGTCAAGCAGCACTGTATTTGTGATGTTAATACAGTGCAATGACATCACAAAATGTAGCCAAGGGCCATAATGGAGGACAAACAGTGAATGTAACATACGCTGTAGTGTTGATTCACATAAAACCTCCTGCATTATTTTATGACAACCAGTTCGTCTTTGTCTTGATAATTCCTGTTTAATCATCCCAAACAGTGATCAGGATTTTAAAAAATCTATTTTCCCAAACTAAAGTAAATCAGAATGCTACTGCAGGTAAGATGGAGGTAAGATACTGACTACTGATTACTTTACAGAACCCTTCTACATTATGTTGAGAGGAAGAGAGAGAAAAATTTCCACATTGTTTTAGCTACAGTGTCTATTTGCTGATCATTTTTTTCACATTGCTGTGCCGGTATAATGTTACATATCATTAGTATTTATTCAAAGGTAAATTTAGATGCATTTAATCCAGAGAGACCAGATTAAATGTTTTCTAACCACAGGTCAGACGAGGCACTGTAGGTCAGTCCCATACCTGCTGGGACGCAGCAGCCTGTCTGCCTCACTGCTTAACTCTCCGCAGACTGGCACATTTCACTATCTGAGCACCTTTCTTCACATCCACAGAATCGGTCTACGTTGTGGGGAGAGGGAGTTTACATCGAATGAAGTCCCGGGGTTGAGGACAGATGGTGGAGACAGAAGGGGAAAGGAAGAGGCTTAGAGAATATTAGTAAAGGAGGATAAAATAAAAGAAGAAAACAATGAGTTGGAAACATATCAGGACAGAAAGAAAATTGTTCAGACAAAAAAAAAAGAAGACAGGCAGCAGGGGACACATCATGAAATGTGACAGAAATATGCAGCTGATAGGAAAGGAAAGAACAGGTTAAAAAAGTAAACAATTCATAGACAGTCAAGCAAGGATGAAAACCAGGAAAGTTTAAAGATGGATAAAACACTGGGAATGTGGTACAGAGTAAATGGGAAGTATTTGAACAGACTGTTAAAGGCCCAAATAAGCATTCATCCATCTGAACAGAAACTAGCATTCACACTCTATGAACTTTTTATGGTTTTCTCTAGTTTCAACCACAAACTTTAACATATGTTATTGGATTTTTATTTAATACACCCACATAAAGTCGAGTTTAATTGTGAGGAAATAAAATAAAATATTTTCAGTTTTCTTTTGCTAATAAAAATCTGAATAATGTTGGATGCATTTTTACTCAACCTTTCTATATTGGTGCATTTAAAGCTGCAGGTATTTTGGTGTATGTTTCTGCCATAGTAGCACGTCTGGAGAGAGAAAATGTCTCCCATTGTTCTGGTTATAAGAATATTTCATTGGATGAAGGCCTTCAGTGGACATGACTGACACTTGGCCCAGTTTTTTTCCGTATTTTTAGCTGCAGACTTTGACTGCACCAATATGCTTCGATGCTTCATTCTTTCATCAGATTTTCCTCCAGTATTTCCCCAAAGTTTGACTTATCCAGCTTCATTTCAATTGGTTATCCGTTTGGTGTGACTGGTTTTTTGTGGCCCGAAGCGATTTGACTTCTATCTGACCAGAACACCTTTTTCACGTTTGTTGTTTCCTCTAGAAAGCTTATGGTAAAATCAAACTCAGAGCACATGACTTTCTTTCAAAGCAGCTTCCTTCTTGCTTTAATACCAGATTTGTGGAGTGTGTGGCTAATATTTGACTTGTTGACACATTCTCCCACTTCAGCTTTAAGCTCCTTTAAGTTACCATGAATATCTCCACTGCTTATGTGGTCAATAATCAATCCTTATTTGGGTTTCAATTTAAGGTGGCCAGACATGACCTGGCAGGTTTGAAGTTGCACCTCTTGGTAGTTTCATTGATTGAAGCCTAAACAGATCCTATCCACAACTTTCTTATTGACATAGTTTTCTATGTTCCTTGGTCTTCATGAGGATGTTTGCTCATACTTGTTCTCTAACAATCCTATGAGGTTATCATAAAGCAGCTGTATTAAGATTACCATTTTCCACACTATAAGGCGCACCTAAAAACCTTCAATTTCCTCAAAAGCAGACACTGCGCCTTATAATCCGCTGCACCTTATATATGGACCAATATTGAGCCACAACAGGTCTAGCAACTACGGTAAGCAGCCGCCGACTTCATTTTCGCCCATAGAAGAAGCGCTCGGTGCATGCTGGGATAGTTGTCAGAACGCTGATTTGTTAATAAAGTTTGACTGACCTATCTAGAATCAGGTCGTCTGCAGGTCATTTAGCACCAGGTTCTCCACCAACATGCTGTGTGCGAACGGAGAAGGGTGACCATCGTCCGGCCACGCCCCGGCCCAGTCGCGGAAGGCTCTCCTCACCGACCGGAGTCGGACTGTTTTGTTGACATTCTTTATGTCAACAAAGTGGCTTTAGACATTCATCCGGGGCGCTTCGACTAGGGTTACCAAGGGACCAGCCCCTATACATTTAAAGCTGGGAAGGGGGCGCGGGAAGAGAGACAGAGACTGCGGCGGCAGCGTGTCGGTTGGTCTGTGTTACCCAGAAAGCAGTTGGGCACAATATTGCAACACCAACACCGTGAATGAAACAATGACTGGGGCAGCCTACTATATAAAGTACTCGGGACCACTTCTTCATTATTACACATCCACATTTGTAGAGTACGGAACAAATAGCGTCCCGTGTCGGTTCAATATGGGACGGGTGGCAACCCTAACTGTAGCGTCTATTCTATGCGCCTTATAATGCGGTGCGCCTTATATATGAAAAAAGTTTTAAAATAGGCCATTCATTGAAGGTGCGCCTTATAGTGCGGAAAATACGGTAAATAAAAAATAAAACACCGACTGTGTCTCCCATAGTCACATATGAAGAATGTAATTAAACGGCTCCACT